AATGGTATCTGAAATACCTAATGCTCGTTAAAGTCTTCTAGTGATATTTCTCTTTATTATTTTGTTATCAATGATGACGCGAAAAAAAAACTACTAGTCGACAAACCGTGAACTCTAGCGAAGATTTTATTAATTAACATCATTTTGTTTAGAGTACAATATGAAGTCAACTAGAGATAATCAAATAAATTATTACTCAAATACGTTAAAATCTGAACAGATTTTTATCTTAATATTTCTTCAGTTGTGAAATAAATTTTTTTGCATAGTTTTGATGGGAAAATAAAAATAACAGATGACGAAAACGAACTCACTTTTTATCTCTCTTTCCAGCACCACTGTCTCGAAACCCTTTAGCAAAGGGATTGTTGTCAATTTTCAGCTGTGTAATCTGAAAACAAAACTTGAGGCTTCAATAATATAAACACAAAACCACGCCGATAATAAGTAGTAATTCAATAATGAAGCTTGGAGAAAAAGCATACTAGTGATATATATATATAAATACAGCGTGACTTTAATACAGAATTAAACACCCTACTTGAGTAATTCATCCCTAACAATCCTCCCCCCCCCCCTTTCCATGTACAGACTGCCCTCAAGGGAAGTGAGTCCCTATCTGCTCAAGCCACTTATCTTAGCTTTTCGTGTCTTTATGGGCCCTTAAGCTTGGAATATCAAAAGAACTGTCACTTCCGACATGGCTGTAAGTAAGACGAGGAGCTGAGCTACGCCTTATTTTAATGTGAATCATGCAACATTGAAAATATGGATACCCAGCGTAATGTGACTAGAATAATGTTATTTGAGTAAAACATTGGACTCTTTCTGTGAACAGTAACGAAACCTATTAGCCCTCTTTATCTTAACTTATCGTATATTATTAAGTCAACTACTCGGTTTTCCTGTTCATGGATCTATACATCACTTAACTGTGAAACCAGTTAACGTGTTTATTCATTCTCAGACTGTCAATAAAACTTTATCTGTGTATCACTGACCTTTTCGTTTTGATAAGCTGTGACAGCAACGAACTCGGTCTCTTTAAAGACGTACGTACGAAACGTACTGTACGGCAGCTTCAGTATGTCACTAGCCCGTACAAGATGAAACCTGGGTTGGTATTTATGCATGGAGTTCAGGATAGTCTGAAAAAAAAGTAACACAGGTATTTATGAACAGCTTTATCCAACTTTGAGATAACTTGACAACCATGCTATTTAATACGGTTCATAACTTGACAACCATACTATTTAATACGGTTCATAACTTGACAACCATACTATTTAATACGGTTCATAACTTGACAACCATACTATCTAATACGGTTCATAACTTGACAACCATACTATTTAATACGGTTCATAACTTGTCAACCATACGATCTAATACGGTTCATAACTTGACAACCATACGATCTAATACGGTTCATTTATTGACTGACAACCATGCTATTTAATATGGTTCATAACTTGACAACCATACTATTTAATACGGTTCATAACTTGACAACCATACTATTTAATACGGTTCATAACTTGACAACCATACTATTTAATACGGTTCATAACTTGACAACCATACTATTTAATACGGTTCAACAACATGAAAAGCTCAAAAAATTGGTCATGATCATTTGATATTTCATAAAGGATCGAGGGAGAAGTAACCACTAACGACAATTGTGATTATATGCAACAACTGACGTTGGTTATAACTGGAGAATTTCGGAGTGCTATAAGCACGTTACAACTCTTTATCAGAAGATCGAGATTTATTCGGTTCAATATTTTTCTCGATTTTGTTTGTTTGTTTGTTGAGTTTCGTGCAAAGCTACTCGAGGGCTATCTGGGCTAGACGTTTGTACTTCTCAAGTGATAGACTAGAGGGAAGGCAAACGGTCAACACCACACAACCGCCAATTTTTTGGACTACTCTTCTACCAACGATTAGTAAGATTGCCCGTTATATTACAACACCCCCCACAGCTGAAAGGACAAGTATGTTCGGTGACGGGATTCGAACTTGCGACCCGCAGATTGCTAGGTCATAGTAGGGTTGATTTTGTCGGTGTTTCTGTGTCATTGTTTTTGGTTTCGTTAGGGTTAACTATAGACTACATAAAGGAGCTCGGTGAGAGAAATCGGCGCTTATTTAGTCACAAGGACAGTCGTCATGAAATATAAGGATGCATTACGTACGAGCCCGGCATAGCCAGGTGGTTAAGGCACCCGACTCGCAATCTGAGGGTCGCGGGTTCGAATCCTTATCACACCAAAGATGATTGCCCTTTCAGCCGTGGGGGCGTTATAATGTGACGGTCAATCCCACTATTCGTTGGTAAAAGAGTAGCCCAAGAGTTGGCGTTGTGTGGTGATGACTAGCTGCCTACCCTCTAGTCTTACGCTGCTAAATTAGGGACGGCTAGCGCAGATAGCCCTCGTGTAGCTTTGCGCGAAATTCAAAACAAACAAACAATTACGTATGTATCTCGTGCACTTCTGTCTTTTTCATTTTGCGACTTCTTTGGATGGCAGCTTGTCTTAATGCCATTAATTCCTATGGACACTTTATATCGCTTTATCGATAATCAGAAAACGTTTCGATCAGCTATCAGAAAACAACACTGAGAAGAAAGACTTATTCGAATATACCAGATCTACATGTCAGCTTCTCCGCAGAACGCTAACCTGGTTCATCCATCATTCTGTTTAGGTTTATCAAAAGCCGACCTTATCTGAATAAGGTTGACGATGTATTGATTATAAGGTTACGGCTATCTGTACTCGAGTCACCAGACGTCGTCTCGTCAGTAAAGATGTCGTGAGCTCACGTGTTTCGTTCACGTCCGAGTTCATTCTTTGTTAACTTTTTCTCATAAAAGTTTGGTTGTTGTTGACCTCAAAACTTCACAATAGGCTATCTGGGCTTTGCCCACCACGGGTATCGAAGCTCGAATTTTAGCGTCAAATCCTGCGGATATTCCGCTGAGCCCCTAGGGCCTTCTGATAAGAACCATATTTACATTGTTCAGGTTGTTAAGAGTAAACGAGCGTCAGTTTCTTCCAATAAAAGAAAAACACGCGCATACTTGGGAAGATATCAGCTCTTCGGATGCTCGAGCTTACAATATTCTGCTTCTCTTGCATATTCAGAATTCAAGCGAGATAACCTAGGTGACGCTAGCGCAACAGATGTCTGCAGTGTAAAAACGTACGCGTGTGGGTACTGTAGTTTTAAACTGCGTTCGAGGGTCTTCTGACTGTGAATAATAAACGTGCAGACACGTCACGATTTTCAAGTTCTCTTCGTCTTATTGATAGATAGACAGATGGGTAAATAGATAGATAGACGAACATGCAGTTAAGAAAAACTTTCCATTCTGGCCCAGTAAGTTATCATTATGGAAATATTTACGCATGCGTACTGACCTTTTTTTACTGATGTACTGAGAAGTAATAAGAGGAAATAAGGTAAAGTTTACTTAATTAAAGTTTACTTAATTGATTTTGTATATTAATATTCAGCGGAATGTTGTTACGCGTTTAGAGTTACGATTAATTTAAACTGGTTTGCATTTTTAAATACTTTGGCTACACAGTACACACGTTAAGCAAAGCCCAGGTGGGCCCTTATCGACATGTATGCCTAATAATGATACTCACTGTACAACTTGGTTGTAAGATAATATTTCTGTGACTTTCCTACAGAGTTTCTTTCCGGCTAAACACGTTCAACGTTTGACGTTTTTTTTTTATTATTATTATTACACCGACTCAGAATGTTTCTTTGATTCATCATTTGAGTTATATTTTACTAGATTGTAAATGGTTTGGATAATGCCTTGTTCAAAAACATTCAAGTATTGTTGTTTTCAGGGCTAACTGCGCTTAGTGCACGATGTGGAATCGAATCACAGGATGTTCGCGTTGTGAGTCCGTAAACTTACCGCTGACCAACCGGGGACAATAAACAACGAAACGAACTCTGAAATATATAACTGTAGAACGATGAGAAACGATGTAAAACAACGCTGCTCTAACTTATATCATAAATTAATGCTGTACATACTTTAAGTTGTACTTAGTTTTTACTTCTAAAATCGTTTGCCAGCAGTAGTTAACTTGTTGATTATATAACCAGTCACGCGCCCAATTATTTTCACATTGGTAAAGTACACGTGTATTAGACGTACATTTTTCTAGTACGTCATTAAGAACGCCAGTTTTGTAGATAACTGTTTTTATTTTATTATTAGCTTGTTTCATACTGCTGATATGACTTCCTTATTTTTTCCTTATATCGCTATTACACATTGGTCCTTAACTATGGCTTTGTTTTTTTCTACAGCTGAAAATATTACCTGTTAGACAGTTCTTCTGCGCACGTGCGTTTATTACACAGCAAGTTACTCGGCAACAATTACACCAAACAACGTTCAGTTTTGTTTTTTTTTTCATTAAATCCCCGAAATGATATTACAACTTACTACACTAACCAATAACAAGTTCACGCCACATGTTACCTTGGGAACGAATAGCAAGACAGGCAGTCTGTATAATATATATATATATAAAGACACAAGGCACAATTTCATTTGTATAATTAGGAACGTTTTCGGTATTAATAAGATATTAAACATAACATGCTACGTATTGCATTAAATTACTCAAACGCATAAAACTCACAATGGTAGGCCTAACAAAGTATGATAAAACTCACAATGGTAGGCCTAACAAAGTATGATATATATATGTCATTAAATTACTCAAACACATAAAACTCACAATGGTAGACCTAACAAAGTATGATAAAACTCACAATGGTAGGCCTAACAAAGTATGATATATATATGTCATTAAATTACTCAAAC